GACAAAATTTAAATTAAAGAAGGAGTTGTTCTTGCGGTCTATATCAGCATTTAGATCTCCCATGAGAATAATGTGCAGGTCGTTTTTGATGGCATTGTCTAATAAATGTTTTAGTAATTTCACAGATTGTATTGTGATGTCTGTTGGAGGGTTGGCGGGCGGAATATAACAATTTACTATCATTAATTTTTGTTTGTTTGCAAATTGAAGTTTTGCGTAGATAATTCTATCTAAAATAGAGTTATGTGCAAAAATGTGTTTAGCGATAACTAGGCTGAAAGAGAGGCTAACACCAGTTCCAATTGATCGGGAATTTTGGTTATTGCTAAAGAAAGTAGTGTAATTTTGGAAATCTCGATTAAAAATGAATGAACTTCCTTTGAAATTGGTTTCTTGTAGGCCTATAATGTAAAATTGGTTTACTGAATATAAAGAAAAAAGGTAATTCTGTTTTGTGAGATCGTTTAAAGAACGGACATTATGAGTAGCGATTCTAAGATTTGTTATGGTAGGAGTTTGAGAACTATGAGTGGTAGTATTATTCATTGTAGGGACAGTAATCATGATAAAGATAAAAATTAATTTGGGAAGCTGCCAATGCAGCGTTCAATGGTTTTGTCAAAATCATCGTTCAATGGTTCAAAGATTTGTGTATCATGTTTGTTGAGGATATTTTTGTTAAGGAGTGTAGTTTGAAGATCATGGTAGGATTTGAGTAACTTATTTAATATGGAAGTGAATTGTGAAATTCGTTGTTGTTGTTTTTGACAGATAAGAATTAGCTGTTCATTTGATTGTTTTTACAAATGAGCGATGCAAAAATCAGTGTTGATGTGTGAGGATTTATGATCGGCTTCGGTGGCAGAATCAGGTAAGTTATTATTATAGTCGTCCGCCTCGACTGGAGTGATGACTTGAATATGAAGGGCTTTCTCTACCACAGCAAGACGTTGTTGCGAAAATTTAAATTTGACACAGAGGTCAGAGATAGCGTTGGAAATAGAAGTAAGTTGAGATGTGACAAATTCTTTGAATTCTGGGTTATGAATTGAACCCCCTTTTGCAGTCCCATTATCTAATTTTAGTGTAGGGAGAACTTCGGTTTCCATGAACTCATCAATTGGTTCGTCTGCTCAATGCAATCTCAGTTCTCTATTAGTAGAATTATGGGAAGAGATGTTATTATTATTTTTATTACTATTATTTTTTTGAGGTGGTGGAAATGGGAAAGGTCTCCTTTTTGGTCTTTCTTGAGGATTAACAATTTGTTATGGTGTTTTAGTCATGTAAGCAAAAGTGATATTTTTACGAACAGCGCCTCGTATAGGGATACGTTTTGGTGTTGTGTAGTTAGTAAATTGAGCTGGTTGGAATTGCTGGTAAAGATTTTGCATGTTGCGATCCTTGGGAGATTGACGACGTCTTGGACAAGTAAAAGCGTTATGATGCGCCAAGGAGCAAATTACACATAACTTGGCTTTTGAGTCAGTCCATTCTAATTTTTTATTATTTAGAGTTAGATTTTTTATATCCAAAGCAGCTTGAACATCTTCTTTGTTAGAAAAATAGAAGAATGCGTGTTGCAAATAATTATAGTTCGAACGAGCTCTGGGGATTATCCATGCGGAAGCTGCGATTATATTTCCAATATCATGGAGGTCACATGGTGTAATATTTCGAGAAAGGTTTGTAAGCTTTACTGAGAAGGCAGAGCAGGCTTGGATTTCATTCCTAGAAAGGCTGCAAAGATAGTAGCGAATCATGTCATTTAGAAGATAAATCCCATCTCCCTTTTTTAGTTCTTCAAAATTTGCCTTTTCGTTAAAGGTGATGGTGGCTCTTTGCCAAAGATTTTTGGTTTCCATGATAAACCGTACGATGTTACCAAATTTGGAAAGCAATTTCTGTAATCTTGTTTCTGTAGCGTCTAGTGGAATTTCTGTGACCATGATCGACAGAACAGGTACGTAGGGCACAGATTTTTTTATATTAAGGGGTTGAAACATAGTATCATCCATATTGGGAGATTTGTGTTTGCAAAATTTGTCACATTCAATTTTTTCCAAAAAGGCAACTTTAATAATAGCCTGATTGTGCTCGGTAGGATGTTTTCCTTTTGTGGCAATGATAAATGAGTTATACTTGTCATAACACAAATAAATGATCTGCGAGATCTTCATTTGGGGATTCAGGCCACGAAGTTTATCCATTGGAATGTAAGCGAAAAATTTAGTAACTTGGGTTGAAGAAGCATCAAAGCCGATTGTTGTAATATCTAAGGTATTTTCTGACGCGTCAAAAGACTCATCAACACTAATTATCAGTTTGGGCACAGCAGTTTCAGAGGCTGTGGGAGTTGAGGCAATAATTTCAGGAGTTTTTCCTTTGTCGAGGTTGTTGGACGAACTTTCTTTGACTGGGTCGATTTCTATGGTGCTGGTCTCTTCTGGAAGGACAGTTACAAGAGATCCCTTTACATAAGTAAGAGAGAGGTTGTTGTCTGAAGTTTGCAGTGTATTTTGTTTCTTTTTAGGTAGTTTGTCAGATATTGGTGACGCAGAGCGACCGCGGTTGGTGTTCTTTCTTTCAGTTTTTTTTGGCATTTTTTGGAAAAGCAGAAAGAGTTTTTTAAAATTATTTATAAAAATTTTTTTTTTTTTTTTTTTTTTTTTTTTTTAAAGTGCGGTAGTTTCGCAATAACTTTATTATGAGAGTATGATAATA